TCTCTCTCTCTCTCTCTCTCTCTCTCTCTCTCTCTCTCTCTCTCTCTCTCTCTCTCCTCCCCACTCCATGTTTGAGGAAGAGATCAACAATAAATACTGGTCTTGTCTGGATGAGGACCATAAAGAAGGACATCAAATATAAAGAAACCTCACGGCAGAAAATATGGCTAGAAAATCACGGGTAATAAATATTTCTGGCTCAAATGGCATTCTCTTTCCAAAGCTTCAAACTGTGGGGCACCTGGCCATCTGGATCCTCACTATGTAGGTCAGTGTTGATGGTCTCTGCCACTTTGCCTATCTTAACTTGTGGCATCAAAAATAACCAGGGCGGGGGATGAGAGTCTAAATACAGGACAGCCAAGAGGTGCTTAAGTGTTTTATTTAGCATTTTGCACACTGGGATAGAAAAGCCCCATCTCTAATGTTATTCAGTTTCTGTGCCCAGCTGAAATCTGAAAACACCATTTAGCTTGTTGTAACATAATGAGCTGTAGAACAGCATATTATATAATGTGCCATCAGAAGCTCCTCTGCCGAGCATCTGGGATTGTCAAAGTCCCGTGATGCTGACTGGTGAAACTGGGAAGAATCCTCCTCAGTGAGATCAGCTAAACTGGTCTACCAGTTTACAGTCACAGACTATTTCCCAGGCCTCGCACACCATGCATACAAATGCACTCTATTTTCTCTCGGGAATGCAAATGTTAGATTCAAATTATGCCTAAGTAACTTTATACGACACTTCTAGTTATTTTTCCTGTATTTTCTTTGTCTTTAAGAGGAAAACAAAACAAAAAACAAAAAGAAACAAACAAAAAAACCCCTTAACCTTACTAGAAATCAAGGTTTTTAAACCAACACTTTCATAAGAAGTAAAAGAAAAGCAATTTAAATAGCTCAATTGATCAGCAATGGAAAAGTAAAGATAGGATGCAAATTCAGAATTTTTCTGGAGTAAAAACTGTATTATTTTTCACATTGATACATGCCATGACATTCTCTTTATATCTTAATTTTCTATGTCATATAATAAGACATACCAAAAGAGGTCCTACATGATAATATCATAAATGTCAAAAATGATATAAAATTTGACTCATCCCAGTCTTCTTAGTTGGAGGCACTGTATTTAAATAGCATGATTTTAAGAATCAGCACTCTAAGCACAACTTCACTTTGTGGGAGTAAATGGTAAATTTCAACTTAGATCTTAACATGATGAGTTTGGCCAGCTTTTAGTCGTGGGAAAGCATCCCATGTCATGCTTCAGCCTGGCGAGCTAGGGTTGCTACCACACAAATAGGAGTCCAGATCATTAACTAAAGTGTCCTGTGCATGGAGACACAGGCCAAATTAGACCCCAAGGAGGTGTCTCCAAACTCACACTGAAGTCAATGGAAACTTGCAAACGCAATCAAGAGGGTTCTTGTGGCTCAGAAAGTCTTGTTAATAGTTTCAGCAGGTCTTTAAAGTGGAAACACAAGCCAAACTCTTGTCCCCAAACAGAACAAAATGAAAAATACGTACCTCTCCAACATCATAGATCCAAATGCGACCTTCTGAGTCCCCTACGGCAACTTCCTTGCCGCCTTGTGCCCAACGAACCCGGTTTAGGGCAGATGCCCCCTCGATGGCCACACTTGCTGTTGGTACCTGCCGAAGGGGTTATAACACAAAAAATGAATATGAATTTACATACACTAGTATACAGTGATGTGTTTTACTCCACAAGCCACAACTGCCATCCTCTGCATGAAGCCACTTCCACACCCACGAGAAAGGGTGAACATGAACGAGATTCATTGTTCTGGAATCATACGCTCCACTGACTTAAGGAGTAGAAACGAGAAACAAAAAAGGAAAACAGGGACATACTTTCCCAGTCATGGCAGCCAGCAACAAGAATCTCTCTCTGGATTTTGTCAAGTGTATGTCCAGCACAGAAGCATGAAAGCTAAATGCAATGCTTGACCATCAGATCATGTAGGCTGTGTTGGGGCAGTGCGAAGATGTTTGGTGTTTTACAGACTGAGTATCTATAAAAGGCAGTGGTATGGTAGAAAAACCAGTCAGTTGCTCAAGTGACTTGAGTCTTCATAACAATACTAGCATACATGCACTGATTCTTAGAGAATTGTCCACCACACCAGGAAGTGAATGATTAGAGGAAAAGAAGTACAGAGTTAAGGGGGCTAAAGAAATGGCTCAGAGGTCAAGAGCACTGTCTGCTCTTCCAAAGGACCAGGTTCAAGTCCCAACACCCTCAAGGCAGTTCATAACTTTCTGTAGTTCCAGTTTCTGGAGATCTGACACCCTCATACAGATGTATGTAAAGGCAAACACCAATGTAAATAAAAATTTTTTAAAAAGTTGTGTACAGGTAAAAACAACAACAACAACAACAAAAAAAAAAAAACTGAGGAATCAATCACAAATTCTCCTTTTCTCCATTTATCTTTTTCTCCCTGTGGCAACACCAAGATACGGAGAAAGGTCACTGTCTGTTCAGAAACATCCTGTTAAAATGTAGCTATCTATGTGTGTGACTCCTTTAATAAACACTGGAAATTCAGACCGTTGATAATTGGCCTAATAATCATTATTACAGCGAACTAGCAGTGCTGAAACAAAGCCTATAGTCTGTCTGTCTGTCTACTTCAAGAACCTTGGAATGTGGAGGAAGGATTTTGAGGGACTCCACCCCTGTCAGTGTGTGTACTCTTGTCTTCAAGGTTGGAAGCTGACAATTGTTCAGAGCTCCAGAGCCTTCTAAAAGAATGTTGATTCAGAAATGACAGCACATCATTAAGAAAGAAAAAGGTACATGTTAAAGGAAAATGAGAAGAAAGATGGAAGATGGCCACTGAGAGCATCTCCTGCCACTCTATGAGATCTGTGCTTAATAAATGCATCTCGGCAACATGGAAACATGACATGTTCTGCAACATAGTATCCCTAGCATTCAGCTAGTCACAGGGCTGAGACCATAGGTTTATGGGAAACTATTGAGCCAATTCCTATCTTTAAAATAGCAATAAAAACTCCATCATATGTAAGAATCTACATTTAAACTTCATCTTGAAATCAATAAGAATTCTTTTCACCTGCTTAAATCATTGCATGTCAATTGTGAACAAAAACGCAAAATGAAAATACTCAGCTCATTTAAAAAAAAATACTCAATTTCTACAATCAAGGTCCCTGCTGTGCAAGCTGGAGTCTGAATTTTAACCAAACCTTGCAAAGAATAAAAACAATGTGAATTTAGATAGACTATAATTCTGTCAATACACTTTATCATTGCTGTGATGGCCCGAAAACAGACTCATGATTCAGCTGTAGAACCTTCAAAGTTCATTTTTAACACTGACTTAGAAGTAGCATGTAGGATGTTACCTTGAATAATCTAAAAGCTGAGTAAAATGTTTAATCTTCATAGGAACATAGCTAAAAATTAATTTAAAAAACCTGACCACCTTCTCATTTAGTTAAAACAATGCCCGATGTGCTTCTAATTAGTTTACTTGAAATGTAAGCAATATAGCAAACTGAAGTCAATTAAAAAAGATTATCCAAAACCCTTTCTTTTCATAGCTGTTATAAAAATATAATAAAATACACTATCATGGCCTATAGTATATGCTAAAAATTAATGAGTACATGAAGGAAAAATATATATGTATTAACTTAAGTGATATTTGACGCTCAAGTGTGAAAATCTTTATTAAAATAATCTGCCTGCTCTTTGCACGGGTCCTACTTCCAACTTTGATTTCATAAGTATTCTCATATTTTTATGACACAGTCATTTTAATTGCAAATACAAGATGTATATAGCATGAATTGCTGGGCAGTCAGAGTCGGTTGCATCAAGGGTAAATAGCCAGTTTTGAGCAAGACTTGGGAGACAACTTAGTTTAAAAGTACAATAATCTGAAGAAAACAAAGTAGATGGGGAACATAGGTTCCCTCAGTCTTTTTAAAATCTATTTCCTAATCTGATGTAAACCTGAAAAAAAAAAAAGGGTTTTAAGCTGTTAGGTGCTGGATCTGAGTCAGACTCGGTGTGCTTTTACTGTCACTGTGAAGGCAGAGCCATGTTTACCATAAATCTCAACTGGATGTATGACCGACCGTGAGTTCTTAAATGTTAACCATAAAACTTCTCTGAGTTTCTCTCTATAGAAAGCGTCAAGATATCACTTTCTTTTTGAGAGAGAGAGAGAGAGAGAGAGGATAACAAAGTTAAATGGAAGTTGTTAAGGTGTGGACTACTACATCCCTTCATGTACGTTGGAGCTGGGTGTCATGGAAGCATCACCTCAGCCTGGCCTGCTCTCTGATACAGCACACTCCCGAATCTATCTGGAAAGCATTTTTTTTTTTTTGGTTGCTTAGAGTTTCTTCTAGCAAATAGAAGCAATATGATTTTAATCAACGGTGATGAAAGACTTTGGGAAACCATTACAACGTAAGGCAATAGCATCTTACTATTAAATGCAATGATGCTATAAACATTTCAGCATCCCAAATGATGGGCATCTCACTCATGCCTTCTGATCATTTTCAAAGATACTTCATTACGTAACTTTCTTTTCCCATCGTTCTTGGAGGTAAAAGGAAAAATGGCTGCGATGGAAATGCATTTGTCTGGTGATAGTTACAGGTATCTGTGCCCTTAAAGGTACCCAGACACAACATCACCTGAAGGAAATTTCCCTCCCACAGAAAATGCTAGCCTCCTGTGCTCCTCCTTCGCGTCCTCCAGCCTTAGGATCCTTAATTAAAAAGGCTGAATGGCTTCCTGTTCCCAGCACTTCAAAGGACTTACTTTACTTGACATATACCTTGTACCATGTACTCTTTACCTGGGTATTTGTACCTGGACCAAACCTCAACAGATGATGCAGAGGCCATTTTAGGACACATAACATTCATGTACTATGCTCCCTGGCAACACCACCAAATCCTAAGGCTCTGAATTAGACCCTTGATACTTTTGAGGGGTTGAAATAAAAGGAAGAAAGCAGATGACTTATGCTTTAAAAATAATCATTTTGTTATCAACTTTTCTTTTTTTTAGAAAGAGGCATTTTTTTCACTTGTGAATGATTTTAAATGTGACATGCTAAAATCCCATTTTAAAAACTGAGTGTTGCATACGTGTTTAAACTTAGACACTACACTACTGCTTTTGAGTTCAATATTGTAGAACTATTTCCTTAGCAAAAATCAAAAGGATGTCAGATCTAAACAGAAAGCAGTGTAGAGAATCATTTTTATGGGGTCAAAACGGAAAATTGTACAAATAGCCAGCGTTGACAGAGTAACCTCATTTCAATAATCCAATCTAAAAACGGCATCCACGGAAGCTTACTTTTCCAAGTCTCTGCCAATAAAGTTATTTCAACACTATGTGTCCTTCCCCTTAGGGAAAAGTGTGAACACACTTTGTGCTCTTGGGGGGGAAAGGTGTGTGGGGGCAGAGTCGGTAACTGTCTAAGATCTGCTACAGTTTAGGGATGAAGTGACACGGAGTTTTGGCCATTACATCTGCTGGTTCTCTTCTGAGTAGTCAAGAAATTGGGGGGTGTCGCTGCCCAGAGGCAATTGGAGGGTCTGTCCACAAAAGGCCATTATTTTTTGCAGGAAGAACCAGACTGCAGAGTGGCCCGGGTGCCCCCTCCCAGCCCTGGGCCCGGGCGCCTGCTGCTCACCTCGGTGTCACTGTTGAGGTTCCAGAGGTCCAAGCGCCCCATCCCGTCCACGCAGGCAAAGAGCGCGGGATGCACGGGGGACCACATGACATCGTACACATAGTCTGCATTGTCTTCAAAGGAGTAGAGCGGCTTGTTGTGCTGTAAAGCAGAGAGACCGTGAAGACTTAGTGGCGCTGCCGCCGCCTCGGGCTGTCTAGAGAGCCTAATTAAAAACTTTGCACATTCACCAAGTGTCATAAAACTTCCCGAGATGAAAGTCCTCGAGAAGGTGAACCGGAGCTTTAATGTGACTACAACTGTCCAGTGGCATAAATAAATCCCCGGGGGTGGGGGATACTCTGAATGGGCCGGGGCCGGACCCGCGGAGCGAGGCGGTTTCAGACACAGTTGTAAGCGACATTCCAGACAGGTGGACGCGACTGCCATTAGCTCGGAATTCTTGCAGGGCCAAGCTGTGCAGGTCGCCGGGAGCCTGAACCCAGCAGTGGGCTGAGGGGCTTGGACCCGCTGGGATGCTCCAAAGCCCGGGCAGTCCCTGGCGACCCTGGCTCTGCACCGAAGGCAACGTCTGCCACCTCGTGGTCCTCGCTTGTCGCTGCAGCAACGGTGCCTTCTTCCAGTCCAACTGCAGGCCAAATTCATATTTTAACTCTTTCTTTGCAGTGAGGAAAGGGGACAAATACCTTTAAAGGCAGGTCTCAGCTCTTACAGGAAAGTGGAAATTTCTCAATTCAAGACACTAGCCTCTCTCTATATGGGGTTAGTTCGCCTGAACCAAGTGGAGCAATATAGCTCATTCTAGAACCCCTGAACTTACACAGAAAATATGACATTCTTTCTAAGTCACCAAGGATTTCCAAGACCCCTAAAGTTGATGTTCTGAGGGGAAACACTGAACATTCTTCCACTGCATACAAATGCCTCCACTCCAGAGGGATATAATAAATTAAAATGGCACACTTGATTTCCAGTGAATATTGTCACATCAAAATAGCACAGAAGTCAGAGGCAAGTTTGAAAGTACACCAGAAATAAAACGTAATTGGACTTTATGAATTATTCATCCCATCTGGCTTGTCTTATTCTAATTTCTGCATAATGGCTTTACTAATCCCTGATCAATTAATGTAAAATGAAATTTAAATGATAATGAAAGCCCCAGAGATAAAAGAAATTAACTATTCTTATATCCTCTGACAGAAATCTAAACAATGGGAATTTTTGTCTTCTTCCTCGAGTCAGCTGTCTGCACTCTCTCCTCCGGCTCTGTGGAATGCCTGCACAGGCCAGGGCGGTAAGATCAAGAAAAGATAACATACAATATAACAATCAAATCCTTTCTGCCTCGGATATTCAAAGAACACATCTGTAGGGAATCGGCTCCAAGTATCAGTGAGAGCTTCCAATGTGCTCTGCTTGTGAATGCGAGATGCTGAAAGTCTATGTGCTGAGCTGGGAGCGGGGAGAACCAGTACAAACCCGCAGTTCTTTAACGGAAACAGAACGCAACAACTTGTTACGGGAGTAACTACAGTTGACTTACTTCCACTGTTTGCATTTTCTTGACATTTAAAAATCACGGCTTGTGTAAACAAAGTTTAGATAGATTAATGCAACATAGATTGTGTTGTGTGTGTGTAGACAAGTGTGTGTGTATAAGTGTGTGTGTATGTGTGTGTATGAATGTGTGTGAGTGTGTGTGTGTAATATTTTTAAAGAGATTTTTAACTTTATATTTTTAACTTCAAAAGTATCTGTGAGGAAGTGTAATTTGAAAAAGAATACCTGTCATCTAAACACCAAAAAGGAACAAACTAGACACTTGTCTTATAGTGATGTCATATTATTTTTCTATAATTTGTATACAAAAATGTTTTAAATCTCATGTTTGTAATATGACTAGAAACCAAAATTATCTGTTTATCGGCCACTGCTTACTTCTTCTTCTCATTGTTTATATTAGATAATTCAAACTCTTACTAGAAAATCCAAGTATCAAATTATTACCTGATAGCATGATTATATCCTTTTGCCTTATTTATTAAAAAGGAAATATGACCATTATGTTTATTACAACCTAACTCTTTGTAAAAAAAAAAAACACCAAAAAACAAAAACCACAGACTCTTGATTTTATAGCTAACTGGCCATTATTAGTTAGAGAACATAACACATATTTTTTAGAGTCAATAGCAGCTAAAGACATATGTGTTTTAAAGAGTGGATTCTTAGCATCCTTTCTCATTCAGTCACTAGTTCATCTAAGCACACAAAGCTGTAGATATGGATGGATACACATACAATCATACAATAAAAACACGACACAGCTGCTATTACTGTTTTGATCAATTAAAACCCCATCCAGCTTCAAACAATCACTCTCCAAAGAGCTGTCAACACAAGACCATGCTAATCCTCTTTAAAAATTATCCTATTAATTTTTATGATATTCTTCCTTTTTTCCTTTTGATATGTTCTTTACTGATAAATTCAGTAAAAATTGTACTATATCCTGGAGACATCACTTTTGAAGCATCTGGAAATCACTGCTCTTCTTCACGTTACTGCACCTCACTACTCTTCTTCTCTTGTCTTCTGAAGCCTCCTCATTCCCCCTACCCCCCACAAAGCTGAACTGTCTATTACAAAAGTCACTGTGAAAGCAACGCTTGGCAAAATTAGGTGTGTGTTTGGAAGAAGGGAGGAGGTTTTAAATTTTCAAAGGTTGTGTTTGAAAATTGATAAATTGATAAGTTTGCAAACTTACAGAACTCATTACTGTATGCCCTGACCTCCTATCTACAGACCACTAGGTCCACGTCCCACAGAGGCATGCTTTACCAGTGCAGGCAAATGCCACTTGTACACTAGTACTATTTTGAATAGTAGGAATTTTTTATCATTCTATTTCATTTTGTCTCCAAGGATCACATTATTAAAGATCTGCCTCAAATGTTTTACGTTTTAAAAATGTATGGTAAATACTAATATCACAAAATATTAACATTTTCCAAAAGGACCTTGAAAGCCTCCGGTCTCAAGAACACTGCTTTGGAGTTTGTGCAACAAAAACTTCAGAGCTCACGAATTTGTTTTAGCTTACTAGGGCATGGCTATTGATTTTGAAATACCACAGATTTTTCAAAAGACAGTATGGGAACACACACTGTCAATGATTTTGAGGAGGAATTTCACAGTATCCTTTGGGTATAATCAAAGTCACGGGGGAGTCATGATTTAAAACATTTACTCTAGAAAAAAACCCGAGGTGGTTCACTTAACTAAATATTGCTCCAAAGCATATTGCTGTAGAAAGCATTCTGTAAAGCAGTCAAATTTCAATGGGGACACCCCCTTCACCTGTATGTTTTCCTTTCAAAAAAAGAAATGGAAAACTCCACCACTTACAACTTGTGCATATGTGACACACCACTAAAATAAACCCTCGACCCTAGGCCTCATCAGGCCTCCAGGTCCGCCATTCTGATAACGGGCGTGAAGCTACACACCCCAGCTTGTTTTTAATTCGCTGACTTTCAAACAAAGCAGAGTGGTCGGCCAGCATGGACTTACAGTGAAGGGCAGGGAAGAAGGTTTGCTGTGGGCTGGGTTCTGTACACACATTGTCTGACTTAATCCGCATAAAATTTCTGTAAGGTAGATGGTGTTTACAGAAAAGAAAATTACAGCTCAGTGAACTCAGTAACTCATAAGGCCACAGAGATTGTGGAGGAGGGGAAGTAGCTTTTGGTCTCAGGGTTTCTAGCTGTTAGGCACATTCTGTGTTTGCAGGCACTCTAGGGTCCTTCAACTTGGTCTTCAGTCTTTACAGAGAGAACAACAAATCCATTAGCCCTTGTTCTTAACACTCTTGTTCAAGTCAACCAATATTTACTAAGCACACACTAAATGACTTGTACAAACAGTTAAAAAATTATTAATGATTGTTATTTTTCTTCCTAAACCAGTTATTAATGACTTTGAGGGCATCACCCACACTTCCGACGGGTCATTAGCATTTGATGGGAGGAAAAGAAAACTCTCTAACATGCTAGGAACAGGATGGGGACTGTCCTTTAGCCACAAGAGCATAAGGCTGTGCCTTGGAAAGTAGAATAAAATGAGCAAGCAGGCAGAGACTTGGCTCCAGTTCTCTGACTGGGAGCTTCTCCGACACTACGATGATGGCGGCTGAAAGCAGAGTAACGAAGCTAGGAGCAGCCAGAAAGGGCATGGAAGACAAGAAACAATGGCGCTCAAAAAGTTTCACCTCAGGCCTTTGAGTGACAGTTTCGTTAGGTGTGAGATGGGAAGGAAGATCTCTGATCGCTGTTCAATGGTACATATTATCTCTGAGCCCATCTTACTTGGAGTTTTTAGAATTTGGACCATGAGTCTCCAAAAAAAACTTAAACGCGTTCAAAACTTTTTTTCTTCTTCTTCTTCTTTTTTTATAGTACAGAATAGAGTTTATTCAGGGCATGGTGAGGGGAGCCAGGAGGGTAGTAGAGGCAGAGAGAGAGAGCGCAGAGAGGTAGAGGTAGAGGTAGAGGAGTAGGCCCCCCCCCCCCCGGAGAGAGGGGGAAGGGAAGGGAAGGGGGGAGGGGGCAGAGAGAAGCTGGAGGCAAGAGAGCAGCAGTGCAAGAGCACTTTTGAAACTTTCTAACTCAGTAAAATAATAACATAAAATTGGGGCATGTGAAATGATGGAACCTGTAAGAGTTTCTCTCTTTGATCAACTGGAAAATAAGAAATACGGAATTTGTGTTAGTCTGTAAGATCTGTTTGCAGAAACAAAACTGTACAACATTCTTCCACAAGGACTCAGAACCAATCAGGTGACTTGTGAAAACACATAGACCTGCCCATTCACCAACCTGTCAATTCAGAAGTGATTGCTATAGGGTTGGCTTCCCTTTCCTGACACTACAGAGATAGAAATGAAAATTTTCCTCTGTGTTCTTTGTCTGCTTCATTTATGGTGGACCTCCAAGGGTCCCAACATAGTTTAGTGTCCCAAAGGCCAGAGAATAGAACAATTCGTGTTGCAACATTTTTCAACAGCCTCAAACACCATACATGCTTATTGAGGTTGAGTTTGTTTCTAAATGATCAACTTTCCAACCAGGCATAGAAGT